AGAAACGCAATTGAGATCAGTCATCGACCGGCACGCGATACCAGGAAATAACTGCAACGAGAAATTACCACTATTCGTTAAATGCAACCTTAAAGGCAACGAACGAAGAAGCTTTAAGCATTTAATTAATCTCTAAACTCTCATATTAGTCGTTTCGTATCCTCGAAATCTTCCGTGAAATGCACGATTAATCAACCGTGAAAATACCGCGCGTTTTTCAAACGTAAAATCTTGCTTCGCGATTGTCTGTTTAATTCGAAACGCGTATTATAAATTATCAATGGATTTTTTCCTGAATTCCGGCGAATCAATTACGATTCAATGGAAATATAAAATTCTGTTACTTTCTATTCTGTGTTTTGTTCTCTGAATTTCTTCCTACGTCGTTATCACGTTTTTTGTAAGGCCTGGATTGGTTTCTTTTTCTCGATTAATCCTCGAGATAGAATCGGAACACTACGTTTATGCCACAGATTTGATAAACTTTGAATGGAAAATCTTCAGTAAAATTTCCTATGATACTTTATCGAGTCTCAAGCTATCTAATCATTCCAAACATAATAGTACGATTCCCAGACCACGTTTCCATAATTTGTCCAGTGACAGCCACGAAATCATCAGTAAACGCACGATATGGATACTTAAATAGTCTGACACAGTGAATATTTATTTACGAAAAATTAGGATTGATTATAAAACGTTCTAGTTCAAAGCGAATCATTGTAAACATACTAAAATTCCAGGAATCAAGTTACGAAAAGGTGAATTAACTAAAAAAAAAAAAATACCTGACTTCAGAATACAAATCGCTGAAAATTCAATAAAATTCTGAGAGAAGCTACGTTGAAAAATTTATTTCTAAACAGTGTACGACTTTCTTTACCGAAAAATAAAGCTCAGAAAATGATCGTAGTCTACAGTAAGTCAATGCAAATTCATTAAGAAGTTCCAAGAAAATCATCGATATACGATGTTACGTGGTTATCACTGCAAACTTCAAAGATTTCCAAAATTAGAAGCGATAACGATCTCCTCGTTGATTTTCATCGCGTATATTAATGAAATTCTATACATTCTCCAGCCAGGTTTTGCATTAGAGCGTCGTGAAATTCGAGTTACAATATCATAAATTGCCGAAAGTCGAGATAACTTCATCATGAGACGCAGTTTATAATATATTGATACGAAGAGAAATTGCACGTTTTTCTAGCGATGCAAGTGTACAAACTGGAACGCGCAAATACGTTGTAACTGGCTGCTACTTTCTCAACAACGATTAAAGTCTTTCCACTACAAGATTAATTAATTCTTTTTTTAAGAACATCGTAAGGAAGAAACATGTACACTGTTTACTCGTTCAGAATTTATAGCAATTGGATTTTTAAATCTTTCCATAATTATTCTAGATGTTTGTTTAAGAATATGAAAAGGCTCTTTATGTAAAAATATTTGTTCAGGTTCTATTCGTTAGTATCTTGCCATTTTAAATAACAGAGAAGTAGCTTGTTATTTAAATTAATTTCCCGTTAAAATCCAGAAAAAATAAACAAATAATAAATTATTTGATGTAATGAGATTTATAAGAGAGTTTCATTACTTTCCTTAAAAAAAAAAACACACAGAGAAAAAAGAAAAGATAAGGCAAAATGTTCTATTACACAATGATATCTATTTGTTACATAAGGAATTCTAATAAACTCTACAGATTATTACAAAATTTTACTACCATCGTCATTATTCTTCATAAAATGTTACTTTGTGATACTCTACATAATTAAAGTTATGAATACATTTCATAAATAAGGAACTCAAGAAGATATACTCGCTCATATCAAGACATTTAAATGGATATGAATTTCCCTAAACTTTATATTAACGACATACTAGTATTAACTCATCAACTATATCTTTCATTGATTCATATATATGAAAATGAAATAATCTGAAGATAAAGAATTGTTCAAGAAGCAGAATAATTATATAAGCTTTCATAGTAGCGGACATCAATTTTATTCTGATATCTTAACTTTTAAAAAACATTTTTATCGCGTCATAGTGACACACTATACGTAGTTGCAACGGTCATAAAGAAAATTATCGCAAGTCATTTTATCTACGATTGCACGCCTTATATCCTATCAACTATTCAGATACTTTTAAGCAGCATGCGACGTCGTAGCTCTTTTACTATACAAAATGAGATATAATAACTCAAGTAAATGTTACGAAGTTCCATAAGAGTTATCAAAATACGATAAAAAGCTTCTCTGTTCCCCTAACGATAGCTCTAAAGTTATTTACAGCAAATATTTAGTTTATCCTGTCGCATTTAACTCAGAGGGAAAAGATTACATTTCAATATTTATTTCATTTCAACCCCAATAACTATCTAAACTATAAATTTTAGAAAACTTAAAAATATAACTTGCAATAATTTATTCAACCTGCTCCATATAAATTTCAAACTCCAAGTTTACTAAACTTGCTAGAATTTTGAATCAAGAACATACAAATAATAAAATTCTTCTGATGAATTTTGTTCTGATCTTCTAACATGTTAATAGCCATTTTCATTCTGCAGTAGCTCTCGTCAAATATAATTCCGTTTTATAAGATCATGGCATCTTCTCAAAACTGTTGCCTTTTAAATTTTCTTCTGCCAATCAATATACAATAATTTTCATCCGACAAACACGACGGTGGTTGAATAATTAGGAACAAAGTGCGCATCAATAAAATTCTCGTACGACAAATTTCCTTTAGCAGTTTCTCAATAATACTTTCCGGCGTTAGAATAGTTCAGAAGAGTGATGGCAATTGCCATCTAAGGGCATTTTAATTAAACGATCTCAGCGAGCGACGACTTCTACAAAACACCTTCTCATCCACGCGCTGCTGCGACATACCACGTTTGTCCAAGAATCCTTCCGCGTTTCTGGCGAGCCAGTGCAACTAAATCAACTCCAACGGGTTCGATCACGAGTTCTTTTTCTGATCTATTTATTCTTTAAATCACGGTGCTCGAAATACAATCAAACTGAACATCTAATGTCTAAACGAGAAATATTTAATGCGGAGCGATCGATGCATTGAAAATAAAATTTACAGTGGATATCTCATGATATTGATCGTGTTAGAACCTCTACTATATTATTTAAACGATAGGATCGATATCTTGAAAGCTACTACCTCTTATTGTATACAATGAAGTTTCTGAGATCCGATTGTGTGAATAGTATGGAATTTCTTTCGTGTTAGTTGGTAATTTATTTTGTAGGATTTGATATAATGTTTCCAATCAATGAATAATAATTTTAGACCAAGCGTGTGAGGGAATTTTGTGAAATTAGATATTTTATATTATAAGTTGTTAGTTTGAATATGATATGAATTAAGATAGATATGTAAATAATCGTGTGTTAAAATTATTCACTTTCTAATATCAAATATATACTTTCCAAAATTATTAAAAAGTTACATAGATTAAGCTGAATGTTAAGATACATATTTTATAAAATTTCATGGTATACTAGTTGTATAATAGTTCATTATTCTTGCTATTCACACATATTGAATAATATATGTTTTACATTAGACATGATAATGAACTTCTAAACAATTCTGAATAATTATAATCAAATCATCCAAAGCAAATTACCTTAATTAATCTATCCACTTTAAATTAATTTAATTTAACAACCTGTTTGATTATAAAACATAAGTATCTAACTAACCAATTTCCTAATCATCGACATATTTTATTCTCTAAACAAACATTGCCTGACAAAACAAGCCTTATATTAAGTAGCAATCCGAGACACGTAAAACAAAGCTATGTACACACTTACGCAAACGGGACCGCCAAGAACAAACAATAATCGTTTATTCATGACTCATTATACTTGATAAATTACAATACATATAAAGCGTCTGATAATAAGCTTCCAATCTTTTTTGTCTCATACGAGGAGGAATCGTTAACAATTGCAGCAATACATGAAATCTATTCTGGATAAAGTTACAGAACGTGTGTAATCAGCCACAGGAAGCAACACTAAAAATCTACTATATTTTTGCTGTCCTAAATCCCAGTATATACTTATACATTTCCAAGCAACAATTATAAACATCGAATTACGCGCAAAATTACTAACATCATACATATCCTACGTACATTGAATATAAACTACACAATGCACATACATCTAAACCCTAATAAGTATCCTCACTGTACCTCGACTCATTTATACCTTTCGCACGCTTGCAATTCTTCCCAAATAAAATCATTTCAGATAAAACCCACATCAGCACTCACGTATGCTTTTCGAATCGTTTTTCGAGACAACAGCCAACACGACTTATTCCGGTACTCGATTGGATCAACTACGTCCGGTAAATCTTGTAGAAAGACCTCCCCAGCGAGTATGTGGAAGCTCGAACGCACCGACCACGACTGACAGCCATAAAGATCTCATGGAGAATTTCTATCGTCTCCTCGGTTCATACTAGGCGTGTTCGGAGTGGGAGATCGCGTTCGTGGCATTGGTCTCGTGTGCTGTAGCTCCACTTATTCCCCACCCTGCTTCCTCCTTAATGTTTTTTACGCAAGTCTTACAAAAAAAAGTCAATTTTGCGCTCCAACGGTTTTACTCTTGTTTTCAAAATATGATGCCATAGAAAAAACTTTGTTTCTTTTTTTTATTTCATCCGCAATAGTAAACACGTTTTGATTGCCCTAATTTTCTGCTTCAACATGCCCATGAATAGTTTATTAACATAGTCGTCGTATTGTTTAGTCATTGATTTACACATGCTCTTAATAGACACTATGTCACTGTCAAGCAACATTGTGTATCAGACATAGGTTTATATTATTTGAACAGAAATATTAATGTTTCTTGCTTATAGTATATAAGATTAAGAGGTAATCGCCTAGATTCTCAGTCAGATCCATGATGGTATATATCTTATAGAATAAATAATTTAGTGCTGTTACTTACCTATAAGTTCCTTTACTTCGTGGACTTTCATAGTCAATGCGGCGTCTCTTGTGTTCATATGAGAGAGACCCTGCAGAGTGTGAACGTGCTCTTGAATGGCTACGAGTACGATGACGCCTCCTGCTTCGTGGCATCTGAAACAAACGATAATATATTATTTAGAGTTCATATACACACACAGATCTAAAAAGAAATTAATGAATGAAAACCAAATGCCTCTGCAGCTAAGAAGACTCAGATTCATAAAATGTAGTCATAAACCTAATGGTGAAAGTTTAAAGAATATACATAATTATACGTTCATTAAACTACTCTGCTCCATTATGATGATCAAAACATATTGAATATGATATAAGAATTATGATCCAATATTATGACACATTATTAATGTAACATAAGAAATTCCTTTGAGAATAGTTGAAAATGTTTTAAAATGTTCAAGATATTATAAGAAAGCATGGTATTGCCATAAATTTGTTATATTATATATATTCTTTATTTCAACATAAATATAACTTTATTGTTTGCTTTTAAAAATATTTTCAATACATAATATACATAAAAGCCAAATAAATTAAATGATACAAATTAAATGTATTAGGTGATTGATTTTTTTATGTATTAAAAGATTCAGAAAGGAAGAACTACATATAAAAAGAGTTATATGATATTATATATATATATATGATATAAAAATATACAAATGAGCCATCATAACCAAAAATACTTATATGTACTTATGTATAATTCATGCAAATATGGCTTATCCGATCACTGTACTGTAACTAGCTTAAAATTACATAAAATATAAGTTGAAGCAAACAGGCAAAGTGAAACTTAATTATAATTTTTAAATGACCTAGACTTATTAGTTTTCTAGAGAAATTCTGACATTTTATCATAATTAATATGACATTACAATCAGGATTGAAGAAAAGAATCGAAGATCATAGATATATGAAATGCACAACTGAAAATATTGTACGAATTTCAGGAAGATATTAGGACCTTTCTATTGAGCCTTTCTATTGAAACGACAGTACATGTACTTACATCAGGAAGGCGAAACGGGCTCAATTGGTTCCAAATGAAACTGAAGATGGATGATATCCAAGAACGTGAAGCTGATGCTTGAGGTATGACACTGCTTTTCGACAACGACGTAGACATCAGCTCAAAAAATTCTGGAAAATGTGGGCAGTCGCATCGTAAGAGCGTACTAAGCACTATAAAGAAAACAGCCCACTCCGAAAAGATAAGTAACTATATCTATAACTCTTGAGAAAGTTTGTTGAGAGTGCTATACAGCCCTATGCGAAAACCAGAGGATTCATTTTCCATGTGAAATCGTCAATCCCGCCAAAATCGTTGAACGTACGTTACACGGGAAACGTGGAGGAGAAGACGATTAGAACGATAATACGATGTGCACGACGGCAGATATAATGAAGAGCAGGGAAATAAAATAAAAATGAGGTAACGAGTACGTATAGGCACGCTTACCAGTAAAATCAATGCTAATGGAATACTCGTCTCTTGGGACGAAGCGTCGAGCTTAAACCCTAACATCCTTGAAGAATAGATTGTGCATTGCGACAACGTACAATACGTACGTATTTAATAATCGTGAGAGAATGAAAGCGACAAAATTTACGAATAGAGAGACAACCGCAAAGCATACGCCATAAGGGAACTTTCATGAAACGGCCATCTTGAAGGTAGAGAAGCATCAAGTACCAGTGAACGCAACACATGCATAATTTCTGCTGGACATTTTGAGTAATCAAAGTTTAACGTACTGTGATAATATTTGCGAAAAGAAGACTTACGTTTAAGGGATAAATCAAGCTTGGTTGGTCCCAAAATGTACTTGCAAACACAAAATATTCAAAGAGCGCAATGAGAGTGCTACGTACGACACTGTTGTATGTGACAACGATGTGGACATCGGATCGATGCGATTGGCGAATGGTATTCGACTATGTTCGTGCGGAATCGTAGACCCGAGTATAAACGAACTGAAACGACTGCGCACGAGCGAACCTTACTAATCCCCCACACTACTAAGTGCTTGCGGCAGATACAAAATGATGTAATTTGTACCTACAAGTACCGGCTACCACGTTCACAGACAATAATAAAAATTCATGCAAAATTTATTTTTCAATCAGAAGAAAATATTTCTAAGTTCAAAACCATTATAATTTACTTCAATAATAAATTGTTTTAATTTATGTATGTCGTATAAACTTCGTGTATATTGCACAATTTTTCATAATTGTTTTATTATACTAAATACTTTAATGTTATAAAGTTAAATAAATTATCGACGTACTAATTATGACATTATTAATTTATTTTTATATTTTAAATAAGTATTCTATGAACAATATCGAAATGAAATCGTATATTTCGATACGTGTTAGTAAATAAAACACTTTCTTTAATAACTATTATTCTATTATTATTCCATTATAATAATAAATTATATATATATGATGCAATAAATTCTGAAAATGGAACAAATTATTTCAACTAAAACGAACGATGTTTGTGACATGTGTGATATACGCCTGATAACCTCGTTTGTAAGCGGCACGAAGAAAACGTGTATCGTACAAAAACTATATAAAAATAATACCCAATTACTAATTTATTATGCAAGTATTATCAGTACGAAATAAATTTGCTATTTCTGTTCAAAATATACATTGAAAAACAACCTAGCCTTTATTCCAAAATATCAATCTAACTTGTTGCGCTTATTTTATTAGAGGAACTTTACATACCTGTCCCCACATTAGATTAGTAATAACTCGTACGACACCACACTTTATTAAAGTCATTAACTTCCAGAGCATACTCAAATTTCAAGTAATTGTAAACAAAACTAGAATGTTCACGAGGTTCTGAAGTAATCATATAAATTCTCCATGACCGATTGATGTCGTTTGATGACCTCCGTATATTATCGTAGGTGGCACCACACCCAAGTATATTCAAGAGGGTAACTACATCATTATCGGTAAACGATTTATGTAAGCAGACGATATGCCTACGTAAGATAAATTAAAAATTACCGCGAAAATTGAAAACAAATAAACAAGCATATTCTCAAGAAATGACTATTTTAAGAGAAAAGCAGAGACACTTACCCCTATTGTTGAATCAATCGCGATGAGTTTAGAGTTCCTCTGGGTGTAACATTTCATCATTGCAGAAGGGATCAAATTCGTTGCGATCGTCCATAATTCTCTGTACGAATGCTGTAACCATTTCGGTCATTGTTCCAACAAATTCTGATTTCTATATTTACACATGTATAATTCGAAACTCTTTATGAAGATTCACTGAATTATGCGCAAAGAAAAAGAAACAAAAAGCAAAAGGCACCGTTATACCGTGCACTACATTTTGTGACCATCGAAGCTACACTAAGTCCTTTAACACAAGGGAACTCCGATTCGATGAGAGCAAGTCGATAACTCGATGTGATTGTGATTACCCCGTGCACAAGGCCACGTGATACATCTGGACCTGCGCCAATCGTGTTATGGAGGAGGGAAAATGATGATAGGTGAATTAATGGATTTAATGACTGTACATAGTTAAAATTTCGACTTTTTACACGTGACTTCTATATGACACATACCTGTCGTCCACGATAAAGATAATCGCGATTGTTTTGAACCTTTAATACGCTATTTAAAATAGACGTGCTTCTTGTAGTAAAACGGTATAATAGACACTGTACTAAAACTGCAGCCATTTTATCCAGCTTACGAAATGGACGCGATGCAGGTAATGTGTTTTAGCTCATAGCGCTTGCGCGACTAACTAACCCCATACACGAAATAAAATCGACTTCACAGCTTTGATCGTAATCAAAGAATAAAGACTAAAACTGTCTTAATCATTCTATGCGTATAACGTATTAGTAGATCAAGTAGCTACAAGGGGACAATTGTATCTTATATAGCAAATGAAATCGGCTGTGATTCACGAATAAATTATATAAGCTTACAAGTTGGAAACTGTCCATTAGATCGAATCGAGTATCTGTCCTTATCTTTTCTTACGGCTGCAGCCGCAGGAGGCAGATCGCGTGAAATTCACGTTCACGTGTCAGGTCTTGTTTCCTGTTTCCCTTAAAAGACAGTGAATGACGTTTCGCAAGAAAAAGGCAATCACTCCGAGAACAATCTAGAGTCAATGAGTATCGCACCGTCGTTTTCGATTTACACGGTATTCAGATCGTGTTGAATATTGGCCCTACATCAAAATCATCTTTTTATCTGAAGCGCAGTCTATTGAACTAAAAATATTGTCTGTCATTTATTTCGCTTCGTGACTTTCAATTTAGAAAGCAAAAATTGATCTTCAAGCACGATAAAAATAAAAATATGTAACGCGTTATTTTAACAGTTAAAACGAAAGAAATATCCATTCTTTGGATTTTTAAATCACATGGGTTTATTAAATTTTATTAACGAGATCAATATTTATATATTTATATCGACATTTTAACGTTTCCAGGGCGATTTATATTGACGATGTCCGTATGACAATAGTAAAATGGATCTAATCAACAGTTGCCAAATTCATCGATGAAATATTGAAAAAGGTAATGTGTCCTTTTAATTGATCGCACGTATAAATATCAAGCCCCGTGCGTTTCTTAAATAATCCAGTCGCGGCTATAAAAGGCACTCTAGTGAAATTGGATAAAGAAATTTTCCGACAAAGAAAATCAAACTTCTACGAAATTCATAGTATACGATCCGCAAAGTCAAAAAAGTACTATGGTACAACTTCATTTCCTTAAAGCTGTTCTCTAAACAAATATTCATATAAGAATAATTCGTTGATTTTCTTCGTTATCTATGCGATTCCTCGATCAAATAATAGGAATCCACGTGCATACATACATGTATAGTAGCTCAAGAAAGTATTTGAACATTGCTCGTGTTACATAAAACATTTTGAAATGTCATTAACACTGAAACGCAACTGTAACGATTATACCGATAAAATTGAAAACTAATCTAAGGATGTATAAAAAAAAGTCACATGACATTTACCGTAAACGTACATTTAATAAAAAGTTACTGTAATGGCATGAAAAGTCACTTTAAACGTATAATAAGAGTTAAAGATAATGCGTGTATAACATTCATAATATATTCGTAAAAGAGTTTCGCGAGAGTTCGAATACGTTCGCAAGCTACTGAAAGTGTATTCGATTGGCAAAAGTTCGGTCAATCGGTTCATTACCTAATTCCATTCCAATAGACTTCTATCGAAAACCCATGTTCACGTGTTCTACCTTAGAAATAATCCTCACAGCCGATTTTCCCCATACGTTCATGACGCGTGTAATTTCTAAAACCGGCGTGGTTCTGCGAATTAAGCAAGTCCCTCTGAACTGCATTTCTGGGCTAAATCCGTGACCAAGCCCGCGGAAACTGGTCGCGTGTATTCGAGGGGTGCGTTCTCTTTGGCAATGAAAAGGATCGATGCGGTCTCCGTGGTAACGGCACCGTCAGAGAGGTCGGAACTACGGATGGTGGTGGACAGAGAGCATCGAGTACGCAACTGATGCAGTAACGACACCACCGACGTCCAAGACACTCGTTTCTAGAGTTTGATCTGTGCCCCGCGCGCGGCTCCGTGCTTCTAACATTCCTCACGAGCACTTCGTTTGCACGACGTTGCTTCGAGACGACGAGCATCATGCGGAGGCGGCAGATCCTCCGCTCCAGGATATTAGCGACGCGAAAGTATTTTATCGCCAGGACAACGATCAGAGAAGAATGCACGAGGAGCCATCGCAAGAAGAAAAACCGAAGGTTCGCCTTCTGCGACGATGGAGCGACATGCCTCAACACTTGCAATTCAATCCCCATATCCGCACTGGTTACAGACCGCTCATGACCGTCGGACAGTGTCTTCGCAGTCTCTTTTATATACACAATGAGACTGTTAATATCATAACACATGGTAAGTTCTAAGCTGTAGAAAATAGAAAGCGAGTCCTTTAGGAAGCTATGGTGGTACTTGGATTCTGCTATGGTGGATGAATGTCTAATTGAGATTGGGAGATCTGAAATGTTTTATCAATTGTCGGATGATTGGTATTAAACCCTCTATACCCTTGTGTGATATAGAAGAGTTACATACCTGTGTCTTTATTTTCTTTCCATACTGGATCTATTGAAATCTTCTTGTAATTATTAAATGCAAGCAGGTTCTTTTAGCAAGATTAATGTTGACTTTTATTGAGATAGAAACGTAGTTATTTTCATTAGTACATCACATTGATCTATATATCGCTGCAAATCATCTGTACATTCATATTATACACGGTAATTATTGCTTCTCAAACTTCAAAATAAGGAAATCAAAATAAAGGAGAAAGAGATTTATCTAGACACGTGTGATACTACTACACGTGTATCAGTTTAGACAGTATTGAAATGAGAATAAAATAATAAGCGAAAAAACTATTTTTCGAAAAATCTAAAATGTTATAATATGAAAATTTTCGTGTATCTAGCTTTTAGATATAATCACATTAGTTAGAATGTCGGAATGTGGTGCGAAAGGGAGAGTTACGTAGCTGTCGTGCTTCAATAAAGTAGAAAACTGGATTACCCTTGAACTTAGCGATTTCAAGGTCAACTTATGAGAGAAATCATTATGTTTCTATCGGCGCACTGCGGGGTAACAAAAGATCGATCAGCGAAGCCGTACGTTATCCTTCGGTGATCTATTCGTGACATTGATAATAGTAATCTCATATTGAAAAGAAAAATTCATGAGAAATTCCTAAATACCTTCATCCAATATTCATATGCATGTTCTATATCAATTTTTAACGATCCGATTGAACAATCCATGAGACGATTTTACGATATTACGTATGTATGTAATATCGTGCGGAAAATGTCTAAAACGGGAATGTCACGTTACGTCAATCATATCAAACAACAAAGAGTTTATTAATAACCGAAGAATAATGGGCGTAAAAGAGACTATACGTATGTGAAGGTAAACACGAACATCACGTAAAAGCATTTATTTAATGAACATTAATTCTCTAAAAATGAACATTGTTCGCTGTTGCACGAGATACTTTATACGACGAGGTAATTAAGAAGTTGGTAATTAGAGAGAGTGTTCTTTATTTATAATTAAAGAATGGAAGCTTCTATCTTTTTGGACAGAATAAAGAATAGAGAATATTACAAACAAGTACAAATTATGTATCAATTTCATTAAGCCAAATATTTACTTCATATGTACTTGTACAATGAAAATATGATAATATATCATTCATTTGTATGACAAGAAATGACTTGTTGCATAGGATCAATAGATTTTCAGTTGTAATTATTTTAACAAATTAATGACACTCTTCTTAAGTTTATTATTTATATCCTGTCTTTTGATAATGTAAATTAATTAAACAAAATTATGTTACAGGATTTGCCATCCTATACATGTTATTGACCATTCCGCAACTTCTCCCATGGAATACCAAAGGTATCCTCATAGCAGTTTTATCTTGGTGTCATTTAATCGGTGCCACTAGTCCGTGGATCGGGTCTTTTATTTACCACCTCTTTATGAATTTGAACTACGACGAGATCTTCTACCGAACGCTATTAAAATTAGACATGATCGGTATATGGCTGTGTCAAAGCTTTGGTAATTATTTAAGCGATTATTACAGTATAATTGAATCACCTTATTACTTTAGAAATCAAAGTGATTAACTTCACTTTCTGAAACATTCTTAATTTTAGTATTAGCGTTTGCTTCTTAGAAATCAAAGAATTGATTGATCAGTTTGGCTTCTGCATGATTCAATAGTTATATGAATAATACGATAATAGTTCTAATAGACTTGAATTCCATTCATAATCTTAGGGGCAATACCTATGATGGCTGCAACAATCCACTGTTTGCCTGATATTTATTGGTACTTCTGTATGTTCATCTACTGCTTCTTTTGCATTTGGGGTCTACTTAAGGTATCCACGGACTTATCCATTAGAAATTAAAAATCATTGTCTTTAGTTTTTGAACACTTGAAAGTATATTTCACAGGCGATGAACGCGCGATCTCCTTGGGAGAGAAGATTATGTTTCGCACCCCTTTTTCTCATGAGAATGCTGATGATGACTCTGCGATACTTAGGTATCGGCGGTGGTTCTCCAGACGCTTTACTTCACATTGTACTACAGGTAAATGCTGTCATATACTTCGGTTCAACTCTCTGTAACTAGAGTTTTATTTGTTTATGCGAATAAAAATTGTAATTTATTATAATTTCACCTTTTAATTCTAATGAATAGACTATTTGGTATCAACACAATGATGTAGTAATAAGATAGAAGGGGTTGACCATTTGCTCATTTCAGAGAAAATGCTTAAGTTTTAAATGTATCTATTAAATAAAAAGGTATTAGTAACATTAGTCAATGCAATTAGTAAATTTTTGTATTATGTATCATTAAAATATAAAATAAAACCATTGAAAAAATACCTATCTTCTTTTAGGATCTTGTAGCGGTTGTGGGAGCAATAATAGGCGCCTTGCGTATTCCTGAGAAATGGATACCAGGCAAACTGGATCTAATGTTGAATTCTCATAATTTAATGCACGTGCTGGTTGTCCTGGCGATTTGTTCGATGCACGCTGCGACTCTGCAAGATCTTGCTTGGATCTCCGACTCGTCCGCGTGTAATAAAACGATCCTCGATCAGTTGAAACACGATGAACTGTGATCGAATGGTGTGGGTGAAAATCTTCTAATGAAGTCTGTGATAAATCGAGCCTACGCCAACCGTCGGTTACTTTGTGTGTAGGTACACACTCTGTTTAATCGACGGCCACTTTTTAAGTAAAGAAACCAAAGAAAGAAATAAGTATACGTACCAAAATTTAATACATATAAAAAAAAAAGCAAATATAACGAGAAGAGAGCACGTGGAATAGTTGAAGTACAAGTACGAGTACAAAAGTTAATTTGTCATATCACAGAGAATAAGATAAATGGTGAAATATTTATTTTCATCGTTAATTCGAATATCAGGAGTAATTCCATTTTTTTCGAGTAAAATAATTCAACTCGAATAAGCACATCAAAAATACGTTTATTGTTGTGATTATAAGAATTTAAAATCCGCAATAATTTATAAGATGTGTTCCCGGACATTCGTTCCTTTAATTAGACACACATCGTTTCTCAATGTCGATACCACTCGTGTAAACGAATAAAACTATCCCAAAATATCGATTGGAATTTATTTAATTCCATAGGGGTTTCAATTATTCATACGTAAATTCATCGCCCATAAAGAGGTATCGGGAACGAAGAATGCACAATCCGTTCATTTACATTTGAAATACAGGCATAGATTAACCTGCTATCCACAGTCGATAAATCTTACAATTAGAAAGTAAATGGTATAAATTTAATTAATATACGTATATCAATCGTGTTTTCGTTTCTTTCACGTACTTTGATTGAGTGTATACGTTTATGATAAAGTTCTATATGAAATTCGCATAGAGCAGAGCCGCAAGAATGTCTCGAAGAATGAAATATTTTATCTGAAGAGGAAATTTATCAATAGATAGTACGCGTGCTAAATAAATATATTTTTAGTATACCATATCGTGTATGAACGTGTCCTTGCGGATCTGATCGTTGGTATAAATTGCATGCTGCAGTAGCTTATAGTCTGATCGAAATTAATTATCGATATATGTATGTATTGCGTTAAAATTATTTATCTCCGACGTTATTTTTATTGAAAATTTCATAATTAATAAATAAATAAAAAAGTGATCAATTAGTATATTTTAAAATAAAAGCACCTATATTGAAAACATATAACGCATCGTAGAAGTGCATAGTAAACAATATATTAAATCTTAAATCATTCAGTACGTATCACCTACAATTAATGTAGATAGAATTTAAGAGAAAACTGTAACGCTAGAATTGTACAGTAGGTTAATAAAAATTATTTAAGAAATACTTTGATAATAAATTAAGAATAAAGTATTTTTTTCATTAGAACTTGTTTATAATACATTTTTATAAGCGGAAGAATGTAACATTAACGTGCATACTCTGAATGTACATCAAGAGTGATCTGTACAAGATTTAACGTTCGCTTGAAGAATATAGTCTTCTCTTAAATTTCAGTTCCATTATGTAGGTACTCTTACACAATTCAGATGATTAATAATTTTGCGTTCAATTACAATTATTGTAAAGGAGCTTCACTTTCTTGAGTATAACTTTTAACTCTGCTAAATTTAAGCGACGGGTATCGCCCGCCAATAGCCGATACTCTCCATTCTCTTACAGATGGCTCCTTTAAACACATTTTCGCTTCATGTCCATTTCGATATTTTGTAAATATAGTGTAACTCAGCCATTTCAATTGCGAATTTAACCGTCTATGATGATCCTGAATTTCAAATTCCTATAAATATTCATAAGTATAATTTGATCATACATCTCATCATGTTTTTAATATTAATTACTTTGATATAATATACATTGATATTTACAATATGAAATGTTTGTTCCCCACTATCATGCATAGTTTCTTTCTTCTTCTTTCTATATGTACTAACTCCTTTTATTTCCTGTTTCTTGAGCATTAGAATAACACAATTATCGCGTAATATATAATGACCAATAAGAACCGATGGATTCCGTGGAGTGCGATATTTTAAAAAATTTACACAACTTTGGGCTTCATCGGTTGAAGTTAGCATCAAAACTCTTCCTTCGGGAAAAAATCTGTTTATCAAAGAAATAATATAAGAATTGACATTTTTCTCCATTAATATATAATCAAGTATCATCACATACCTCAGGTACCTGAAGTATTCCACCAGATGCCAAGGTCTATAAAATCGATCTTGGAAACTATTTTCACCATCACGAATGTAACTGGTTTTGCTAATATAACATCCATTATATCTTAGTCTAGGCCGTTGTAAATACATATCTCTCCATGATTGATATTTTGGAGCATAGGTTCCACAATTTACACCCCATACTCTATACAATTTGATCATTTTGTGATCACTCCATTATTACAGAGATCTATTAAGTGATTTTTATTGACATACCTAACACAGGCAAGTCTCCAGATTTCGGTATCTCTTGCAGATATATAAAATCCACGACATACTCTGGAGAACATTTCAAGAGATCTCAAGTCAAGTTCTGAAGATACAACCCATCTTAGGATGTAAAGCACTATCTCCATAGGCAAGGCAGAAATATGTGTTGTCTGAAAAAGGAATGCCCTGATAATGTTGCACAACAATATAGATTACCCAACAATTCTAAGTGTATGTACTCACAGTTTGTTCAAATTTAGGGAAACAAACGCATTTATTTTGATTTACAATTTTGCATAATTTAACAAATAAATCGCTTTCTTCTTCATCTTCTTCGTTATAATTTTCAGCATTTTCACCAATGTTGTTTATATCATTGTCATATCCTTCATGATTATCATCGTTTGATTTTACTTTAGTTGATTCGTATAAACGTAACTCAATGTCAGGAACTAATAACACAGCTCGTTTGTAAAATTGAATTGCTTCATAGAACTTCCTTCTTTCCTCATATTCAATTCCTTTCAGGAACAAGTTTCTTGCCTGAAATATTTACTTCCACATATTATATACATACATAGAGATATCTTTAGAACATCCATTGGTCATTATTATACCTTGCTTTCAATAGACTCTTCATCGTTAGAATTAGAGACATCAACTTTAACTGTCTTTGTAGGCTGTGTTCTTGGTCGATCTCTTTTGGGCGATATCTCTAATTCACGTTGCCATTGCTCTCTGAAAGAAGTCAGAGCATCCTCGATGTTCGTTTCCGAGAAAGAAGACCCTTCCTGATCATCTCCACCGTCATCTGACTCGCTAGATTCACTAGAGTGGCTCTATTGATATTACGATCAAATGTTTATAAATTACCTGATCACCTATTAAAATCACATTTCAATAACAAAAATAAGAATAAATTGACTGTATCAATTACTTGGCTGCTTTATTATGAATGATTCTGAAAATGACGTTTTATTTTTCCGCTCCGTTTGAGGTTATATTGACGTAGGTAACTTCTTACGTGGTAACAATGAAAGGACAGTCATTGATTTCCATATATTACGTACCATTTTTCTTTCTGTTTCGATTTCCACGGTATTATTCCTTCAGCGCTTGTACTCTCGGTCAGAAAAGCGTACAACACAGCGAAAGTACAATCTCGCCAACAAGACCGCCGCCATGGTTTTCGCCTTTCTGCTTTGCGATTCAATTAAAGGCCATACCGGAACCGGCAGCTATAGACTGTATTGTGTGTTTCAAGCTGATGCAATTCAGTTTGAATTCCTACTCAGTTTGAAAAACGATGATTTTTGAAAAGCATCAAAAGCATATGTTACCAAGAATTAAAACACGGAGATTACGTAATCCAGTTTCCTGTGGTATGTATATTTTACGTCACCATTAAGATAAGTAATACATTTTTTGAAATGATACCGAACGTTGAGTACTTGCGTTAATAGTTCAAACATTAAGTACTTGATAATTTAAGGTTAAATACTTGAGAGATAATATGTACCAAGTGTTTGAGAATACTTTTGTAGAAAATATGTTAGTTTAATTTCGGGGGGTAACATATATGTGTCTTTTTCCATTTTTCTTTCGTCTCTTTTCCCCTTTTTAACCTTTCTATGATTATATTTCCTGCCACACCCTTTCATCCTTCATAATCGCTTTCTTACTTTCTTTATTTTCTTTTTCTTTTTTTCATACATCGGACTATGATCATTAAGGAGACATAACATAACTTGAAAATCACTTGGTTTTCTAAGCAATAATCAACTTCAACGATACTTTATCCTAATACTTACTCTACGTTAGAATCTTATTCTTTCTATATCTATGAAATGGAGAACAATAAGAAGTAACGATCGAGAGATTTCCAAAGTCTTAAAATATTTAACATTCATAAAGGTATTTATACAAATGAAAGATTACAATCGCCATATTATCAATAATGTCAATTATAAGTGTAGCATCAACGATCAGATTATATTATTTATAATAAATTATATTCATAATAATATTGTTGATTTTACAGATTCAGTTCTCAATACTCAATTGTCGAAACCATTCTATCCGAAGAACGTTTCAAACATTTCAAGCAGATTAAGATGCTCGAAAATTTACGAGAACGTGAGTCAGTTTTTGATTTTCTTCGTCAAAAATACCGGAAGCTGTCTCGAAATGGACAATGGGAACGTAACATTTTTGCCCACGAATCTCTGCGATATTTGGAAGATAGCGGAGGAAGCGATTCTTAATTCGACTCGTTTCTCGCTCGATCGTTTCATACACGTGGATCAACATCGTGGACCCCTCCTCTTTCACGGAACTATCGCTACTTGAAGATCATCTTCCTGAGTAAAAGCCGCGTGCTAACCGAATGTCGGCACAGACAGCATCATGAGCTTGGTGAGTACGAAACCACTCATTTACTGTATACCTTTCTTTCAATAAGTTTCCTCTATTTCACTATCGTTTTCGCCTTTGGTTCTCCTCATTTTATTCTCGTGTACATTATATCATTTTCGATGGTGATGGACAGGTCTCGTGTCGTGTGACAGTGAAAAGTGTTAACCGTTGGTTTTGAAAAGGCAAGTGAGAAGAGACATCCGAGAGATTTTACTCGATTGTGTGCAGAGAAGAAAGTCCCGACATATTTCTCTTTATCTAACAGATTATCATAAGAATGTTGATATTTCGTTGATCTTGTTTCAAATTAACCAGGACTTGTTACATAGAATTGTTTGGAAATTATTCAGGATGATAAGAGTAAGTTTCACTTGCTTTTGATTATAACTGTTCTAGTTTTACGTTAAAAGGAACGTTTTCTGTGTCACGGTGCGTTCCGTGTAAATACAGTCGACGCAATGGCAATCGAAAGTTACCTGTGCCGTGCGACTCAATGCTGGAAAAATTCAGATTTCTAGTTTGAAGAAGTTCCCGATGAGCATTCTGTTACAGGCGACTTTCTTCTCTTCTCTGTTCGTGCGCCCCGCGATTCAAATATTTCCAGGTCTACACGCGGCTGGAATTTCCTTTTACACCAGTATTTAATTGAACGTCATCCTCGTATACGAGAATAATACCATTTTCCTCTTACTTTCGTTGAAAAAATTATAGGGATATTATTGGGTTAGGTGAAAAATGAAATTCTATATAGCTGTTGAGTATTAAAGAAAAAAAGAACAATATTTACTTCAATTATATTTTAGTATCTTTTACATAAAGCTGTAATACTTTCTTGTTTATATCCTTTGACACTAGAGTATGGAAAAAATATCATTTTTACGAATACAATTACTAGCAACCTTGTGAAAAATGAAAGTATTCTTCTGTATAACAATAATGAGCTATTTCCAGTACAAGTTGTTTCTTTGAAGATATAAAAAAGCATATATTTAATAGAATCAAAGGAAATACTGATATTTCTATTATAAATATGATATCTGATAAATCAATTTCATGTATAGAGTATAAAACGTAGCATTCTAAGAACTGACGTTCCATTCATTATATTTAAACTTTCTAATACATATTTAGAACTTTTATATGTTAAATGACAGTTTTACGAAGAAAAAAAGACTGTATCTCATTTGTCATACTTTTCTCTCAATTTACATTTCTCTTTATCTCAGGCGTATACACCTGGAACTATGTATTTAGCGTATTAAATTAATTTACAAATCATTAGATAAAGGGGGTTAATTTCTATTCAGCGTTTGCACATACTGCGTTCAAAGTATCGTTCAATTCCTCGTTGACTTTTAGTTTCACTGTTGAAGGTGCTACACGTTTCTATCGCGAAGAACTTTCTTTCGAACATCACGCCGCTTTCCTCCAACTTTTTCCTTCTTGCCACGTTATTCTCCTTAGAATTATTTGAAAAGATCCAAAATTACTGTATAATGAATCTCTTTTCTGAAATTTTCTTACATTTTCAATTATTCATGGAGGGAAAAAAGAAAAAAAAAATAAATAATCCAGCAGATCGGATTAATCTTCGATCGAAGTTTCACGAATATAACACGCATATTTCGCGAACTTGCAAATTGGACAACCTAATTGTTATCTAGTACAAGAGCGATTAATTGAAATTAAAATTGACTTCATGCAACAGTTACTAACTGACGTGTAACACGCAAGGGGATCGCGAATCGTAAAACGAACTTCGTCCCGCGAGAAAAATTGGTGAATTTCATTTCAGACCAACACTTTCTCGAAGTTAGTGATACGTAACTCGAGATATAGGTATTGCCCATTTATAGTGATAATTTATACGCGTATGGGAACTTAATATCGCGGTTATGGTCACAACTTTTCTTTTATCATTTTAGTTTTAGTTGTCGTTCCTTTAGGGAACCTATAAATGGTTTCACTTCTTTTAATCTTACAGATAGAATCTATAAATATAGGAAAAGTGTGTTTCTTTAGTAAAGGGAAATTGATATTTCTTTTTTCTTTTCTGATCTGCTTCATAGATCCCTCAGAGATGAATTGGAGGATCAAAGCAAATTTTTATTAAAAACAAGAACAATATTCTAAAGAAGATATGTTTTAATATAAATTCAGAGAAGGTAACGAAATTCTCGGGAAGATACGATTCGAGTATCAGAAATTTAGATATTTAGCAAAAAATTATATTACGTTAATCACATCTCGTATATCTGATTTATTCTTCAATTTATAATCAGTGGATACTTCTAGGTGTTTTGAAAATTCCTTTGTACAATTCTTCTCGTTTACAGATGGCAAATAGATCTTCGACGATATTCTCTGACGATGTTCTCTGACAAATTAAAGGGACTGCAGCTAAGAGAAGCTCGATAAACCCACAACGTCATAAATTCACTAAAAACAGAAATTATGCGCAAGTTTTGTATCATTCAATAACAAGTCATGAATCATCTGTATATTTGCATCTCTTCTGAGAAAGGCTGCATTTCTTCGTGCTATTTATTTTCACCGTCGGCAAAACAAATGACGATGGATTGTTGTAGTCCCTGAAAGAAATGGCTATCCGCGTAGTTTCAACGCGTAACCACAACGATCAGGTGTCTCTTGTCACGTTTCCGCTCAGTGTAATCACATTCTAGGAGAAAGTAATTACCAAACGATTTATGACAAGAGTCCTGATTAGGGTGTGGACACTATGCGTCTCGTTTGGCGATGGGTTCGTTGAACCTTAAGCAGGTGGCATCTTTTCCATCCTTGGCCAGAAGAAAGTTTTTTCTCTCGACGATGATGACGCGTGACCCAATCCGAAAGCGAGATCAGCCTCCGATCACCAGTCTCGAAACTTATTAAGAGATCGTTACGAAACAATCGAAGATACCTTTAAAATAGTTAGGATGTCTAAACGAACGTTCGTGAGTAATTCGAGTGCCTCGTGGTGTGGGAAAATTGTTCAAAACACTTTTACTCGTGGTTCATAAAAGAAAAGGCAATTTTATTATTTTCTTTTCGACTAAAATTGTGTATTATTTGCTCATTGGTTTATTCGCTATTTTTTCCACTTGAATTCTATTTTCTGACTATTGTTTCATTTCGAAAAAGCAACATTTTTAATAATCATTTTTGTTTCATATTCAGATACTAATCGTTTCTCGTTACAAAATGGATCTCTCTGGTGAATTGCCTTACTGTCTCTTTGTTTTGTTCTTCCACAGTTATTGGAGGGAAGGGATACTTATACACGTAAATCAAATTTAGGGAAAATCCACTCAAAGAAGACTTAACCCTTCTATTTTATTTGAGAAATTCAAATAACGAATAGTATCAATCTGTTTATTATTGAAGAATCGATCGACGCCAGTTCCTATCGTTAGTACTATAACTCTAGAACTTTTATTATTAATTAGAACTCCACTATCAATGTACACAGTCTTGAGACTGAAAGTTATCACAATTTATATTAAATTTATAAAATCCAAAGGCCAGAGCCAATGATAAGTAGCAAGTAAAAACGGTATAATAACTACTTATAAATAATAAAACAAAAGAAAAATTACGGTAAATAATCACGTAGCCCAATTCTAGTCTTAAATCGCGACTATTCAACCCTTAACTTCTGCAAGCTAAACGAGCGAACCTACTTGAAATTATATTTCGTTTAAGATATTATTACTCGAGTTCTCCTTTTGATCGGACCATCTTCTTCGATCGCTTTCCATCGATCTCATCGATGGCACAAAATCAACGACGACGACTCCATCCGAGTTATGTGCCTCATCCGATAAATTGTCCCGAACGAGGACGTTCTTTCGGCGTCGTTACAAACCTGTCATCCTCGACTTTCACTCGTCGCCCCGCGATACGACGTGTAGTATCGTACTTTGCAAGCTAATTGCACTTTACTTCATTCTGTCGCATCTGCTGGTCGCG